TAAAGAAAAAACCAACCAGTGGATGAACAAAACGCTGCCCATCCTCACTCCTCTGCAACCAAACATGTTCAAAAGGCTGATTCGAATTATTAACAAGTATATTATACTCTTCTTGAGGCCTCCGTATCGTTGGTATATGAAACGGCACCTTCGCTTTGGCCGACGTCCCCGCAGCCAACGCCCCTTTCTTCACCTTCACTTCAGAAGAAATCGAAGCCCCACCTTCCTTTCCACCCACTATATCACCAACCGAGTCTCTCACTAACCCTCCATCCCCTTTCTTCTTCTTCTTCCCGTGAACCACCTGAAACCCATCAGTATCCGGATCCGCCCCGTTAACCCGACCCGTTTCCTCTTGTTTCTTTCTAATCTTTTGAAATTCGTCCGTGTACATGTCGAATCGCTCCAAGCATTCATCGATGATGTTAACCGTCCAATCATAAGCTTCATCATCGGCGATATTTTCAATTTTGTTAGGGAAATTAATCGCCTTGTTGGCGCCCCAGGCTTTGGCCGATGAGCCGATGGATTCAAGCAAGGAATGTGACGTATTGTCGATTTGATCAATGGGAAGCTTGAATTGATCGAAATTGTGGAAGAAATGAAAGTCTTGATTGGAAGGGAGGGTTCGAGAAGAGGAAGAGAGTGAGGAAACAGAAGAAGAGAGAGGGCCCGAAGCTAGGGCTTGAAGAGATTGGGAACTTTTTGAAGGTTCAGATTGGGATTCCATTGCTCTTGCATCGATGTTGTTGTTCTAGGTTTTTAGGGTTTTGGGTGAAGAAAGGTTAGGGTTTTAGGGATTTTTGGCTCTTTTTCATTTTTATTTCCACTGAAGAAGACAAGAAAAAAAATTTTCTATCAAAGGAACTGAAAAGAGTAAAAGGGGCTGTCTTCTAGTAGCTTTATTGTTATTTTGTTGCTAATTATTTTTATTTTTTATAAAAGTGAAAAAATTTAAAAAAAATAAAAATAAAAGCAGATAGAAATCATTTTAGAAAATTGAAAAATTAATTTTCATACACAAAGAAATTCATGATTTATTCTATTTTACTTATATTTTCAATTACTAAATTTTTTTACTTATATAATTTTTTTATGAGTTAATAACAGATAATAATAAAAATAATAACCTTGCAAAATAGAAACTTTTTTTTATTATTCATGTGTTTTTGTCATATTTTTTTTAAAAAAGTTGAAATCAGCATTATTTGTGTGATTTTTCAATATGTTTTATATCCAGTTTAAAAACTAATATTTTGGTATTAATTTGACTCTCTATTGGGTTAATAATACATGCAAATTAATGGAATATATAGTATTAAAATTTTAATAAAAAGTTAGCATAAATTATTTAAATAAATTTTTATTTTTTATTATGATTTAATCAAATTCTTATTTTTGCATTTTAAAATCATTAATAAAAATAATTCTTGATAAAGCGTGTCTTCTCATCAATATCTATATACCTACTAAAAGCTCTCAAAGCACAGGCTTATGTTGTGGAAAAAATTTGGAGTAGTACTCTTTGATTTTTTTAATTGAGGGTATTATGAAAAATTTTATTGAAAACTTTAAAGACGATGTTGCTTATTGGGTACTTACTTTTCATTATAACTTTACTATTAAAAGTGCATGAGAATTGATTCGTCAATAATAACTAGCAAATAATGTTTTTCAATCTTATTTGGCACAAAAGCATTTCTCTCAATATTTTTTTTTTTGTGGCAGTTTGTACATGGTTGGATACCATTTGAAAATTTTTTCTAATCAATGTCATTGGGCCTCAAAATATTGTATATGTACTTTGGACATGGTACTACTTAAGAGATTATACAAAAAAGGGATGTATTCAGGTTTTATTATTTATATTTTATTATTGATTTTTATGAATTGAATGTAATAATACAAAACATAGAAACCAAAGAGTGTATTATAACATAGTAATATGGCAGGTCATAAATTTATTAACGTAATTTTAGAAAAAAAAAAAAACTGTTACAACGATGGTAGTGGAAAGATGATTTATAAATTGCAAACTTATGGAGGTTCCAATTTGCAAAGGAGTCTCCTACACCATTTAAAATAATTAGATGGGTGAAACTATTGATAGATGAAATTAAGTTGAATGTTGATGGTAGTTTCGAGGATAAATTTTAAAATGTTGCAGAAAGAGAAGTATTATATAATCATACAAGTATATTTATATTTAGATTTTTAAAAAATTTTGATCTTAATAATGCCTTGAAAGCCGAATTACTTGTTTTATAAAGAAGTCTGATTTTATGCCAAAATCACAATCTTTTCGATGTTGGAATTGAAATTGATGCTAGGGTAATTGTGTATGTGATAGAGGGAGGAAGCCAAGGTTCTTATGATATTCATTACATCCTTGTCAATGTACGGAAATGTTTGCAAACTTCTTTTTTTTTTTCATAGAATTTCTCACATTCATCAAGAAGAAAATCAAGTTGCAGATTTTTTATCAAATCATGGATATATTCATCAAGGCTTCCAATTATTTCATCAAGTTTCAAATAAATTATAAGGTATCCTAAAATTAGATAAAATTAACTTACTTTATATTAGATTCAAATAATCGTAAGACAACAGTACTCCTTATTAATTTTTCCTATTATAAGCAAGCAATATTACTTAATTCATGTTTTCATGCAAAGAAAGTATTATTTCCATTAGGAATATTTTTTTATCTTTCTCATGTACTTCAAGTAAAGTTTATGTCCCATTTCCAATATACTTCGAATTCCCATTTTTAATAAAATATTAACAGGTAGCTAGCCTTGAAAATTATTCTAATTTTTTTAAAAATATTATTAATAAAAATGATATTTACATATTTTATATTCACATGACATTAATTTAAAAAATAAAAATAACACACGATCATATTGTCAAGCTATGCTAACTTATCACATCACCTTTCATTATTATATGTCAACAAACTACGTTAATATTACGTAATATATAATAATAAATAGTATTTTAGTTAATTATAATTAATTAATCATTAATTATAAAAATTTATTAATTTTAAAATAAAATATAAATATTTAATTAAATATAATAAAATAATAAAAATTATTTAAATTTATTTTTTGAATAATTCAGCGAATTTTTAAAAATATTATACGACAAATTTTATATATAGTATGGAAATTAAATACTTTTAATAGATTTTTTTTCAAATGAGAATTCCCATTCAATCAAATAAAACGTGAAAAATATTGAAAAAGAAACAACTGCTTTACCATGACATTCTTTCATTGTCGGACAAGAAAAGGGGTGACTGGGATTCTGACTCTACCTTTTACAATGTATCGTGGAATACTGAATGGACGCGTTATATTTGTGAAAACAGCTAGGCATGAATGCTTGGACATAAAGGAATGGTGATGGCAATTCCAGGTTTTTATTTTCTATTTAAGAAAGAAAATATCAAAAAAATAATTTAAAAAAAATTACAAATTCAATTATATCGCAGAGAAACATAAATGAAAAAGAAAAACACATATTCAATTAATTAAAATTATTATTTTTAAATATATTTTTTATTTTTTGTATCAAATATAAATAAAATGAGAAAAATCAAATTAAAATTTCTTCTATTACCTATAATTAAATTTTCTAAATTAAATAAAATTTTATAATTAACTTCTGATTGGTTATTATTTTTTAAAAATATTAATTTATTGTTATTAATTAAAATTTTATAACATCCTGATCATATAATTAAAGGTCATTTATTATATTATGTTATGATATTCGTAACGTGATCATGTGATCATTTATAAATTAAAATAAAACAAAATTAAAAGGTTTTTTAAGAGCTACGTGTTTTTCTTTTGGGTGTGTTTTTGGTTAACTTCTATTGGACCGCCTCAACCAAAAACCCAGCTGAGTTTTGAAGCATTGGAATTCGTTGAGCCTCCTCCCTCAAAACCCTCTATCTTTGCCTTTCTCTTTATTTTCTGCAGGCTTTTACTCCTCCTTCAAGTACCCTCCAACATGAGGTTCTCTATGTTCTCTCTCTTTTTCCATAATAATACTTCTAAAATGCCATATATTTTCTTTTGTTCTTATGTCTTGCTTTTCCATGCTAAAGGATTTTCTAAATTTTAGGCCAATCCGAGCAAAAAAGAAAAAAGAAAAAAGAAAGAAAAATGATGTTGTACGAAACTAGTTTTGATTATTAAGAATAAACCCAATGTGAGGGTGTCAATTTATAATATTGGGTTGGTGAAAACAAAGAGAAAAAAATTGTAGTTTTTACAACCATTTTAGGCTGCCCTTCTAGTTCTTGCTAAATAATAGTAGTGTAAAACAATTGGGTTAATTCTATTTGGGTTTACTTCATTTTGCTCATTTTGATGTTGATTCATCTTGATTCTTATTATCTCTATCATTTGTAGCGTGATTAAGTTTGAAGAATATGCAATTATGTAAAAGGAATATAGTTTTATGCATTATAATAATACATTTATTTCCTTTGGTTTCCTGATATATTGGCTTAAGATTGAAGCAACTCTTTTTTTTTTTTTGGTTTTTTTCTTTGTATTCAGTCGCCATCCTGAGGTTCTTTGGGCTCAGAGCTCTGATAAGGTATACCTGACGATCTCTTTACCTGATGCAAAAGATATTTCTGTTAAATGTGAGCCTCAGGGATTATTTAGTTTCTCTGCCATGGGGGTGCAAGGAGAATGCTTCGATTTCAGTTTGGAGCTTTGTGGAAAAATAGTACCTGAGGTGAGTTATTGTGTCCTAGATGCGTGAGTTCGTTCTTCTAGGCAGGTTGGATTTCTTTACTAGTAGCTTGACTTTCATGTTCTTCTGCTTGTAAGTTATATAATAGATTTCACTATCTATTTTTTGTCTCCCTGTTTGTGGGTTTGTGAGGCTGTAGTCGGCGAGAGACGAACTTGTTGAAATACTTAATGTTTTCTATACAAAATAAGACCCTTAATCATGAATTTGGTATACCAAGTTTCACGGTTAGGTCTTTGGGTTGTTTCTTATTTGAAGTGAAATACAAGTATTTCAAATTGAGATGTTGGAGCTTATGTTTAAGATGGCAAGAGTTGAATGCCATTAGTGAGAAACCCTCAAACTTGTGATCTATGAGGTATAAAGTAGTTTTGCATGTTTTCCCTGAATGAATAACTTGAAATAAAATCTCTTTCCTACTGCCCTGTACAAACTCTTATTGCTACTTCCATCTCTCTTTTTCTTTTATGCACTTTTTGTTCAAGGATATACTGAAATAATCTGAAAGAATTGGTCACATTTTTTTTCCACGCTTAGAGTTTTGTTCAAATATTATTTTGCTTATATTGCAGGGTTGCAAAACTAATGTTGGGTTAAGGAATATAATATGCTCTATCCAGAAAGAAGAGAAAGGGTGGTGGAAAAGATTATTAAAGTCTGAAGAGAAACCAGCACCTTACATCAAGGTTGATTGGAACAAATGGTGTGATGAAGATGAGGAAGAGTCAAATTGTAAGTGAGTTTATCGTTAATTTTGGTTTGTATTATATTACCAATCCTATGTGCATATGCACCTAGAAAAATTTGCACACTTCCTTACTTTTGAGAACCTTGACTGTATATAGATTGTATACTTGCTTGTGTTTTGGCCTTTTCATGTCAGCATCCATGAAGTATCAACAATATCCTTTTAGTGTTTTACCAGTGTACAATCTTTTCATTCTATTCCTCCACTCCTATCCAGCGTAGATTTTTGGGAAATAGTGTAGTACATTTATATGTTGATGTGATTTTCCATTTTTTTAAGCCCCATGATTTTTTACTTTCTGATACTTTTATCAATGACAATCCTCCTGCTCTGTCCTTTGACTTTTAAGTTATTTGAAGTTTTTATCTGGTCACAAATTCTGGAGCAATATCTGTCTAGTTTAACATATATTCTGTACCTATAGCTAGATTCAGTTGTTACTGTGCTGGATTTAATAAAATCTATATTTAGATTATGATTATATTGGCTCTGACTGGAGTTTTTGTGGTCCTTGGCAGCTGATTTGGCCTCTGACGATGATGATGCCATGGTAATTTGCTTATTCTTCCATCTATGAATGCATAATGCAGTTGGGAGTGGGATAAGATGATGTCATATTTTAGTTAGCCATTGAATCTCAAGTTTCTTTCAGGGAAACAAAGGAAAGTCTATTCTTGGGTGGTAAATCAGGCAAATCCTAAAGTTCCTAGAACTTAAAAGTGAAATGCTGATATTGTTAGAAGTCAAGAAGCAAGAATGTCCTCAAGCATTCTTGTATCCTTTAGTTGTAGGACAGATAAAAGCCTAAAACCCTAATAACATCTAACCATATTTTCTGGCATCTTTGATCATGGCATGGCATGCCAACATTAGTAAAAGAACAGAAAAGAAAAAATGCCTAACATGTTGTGCCTGCATCAAAATACGGGGAGACATTTGTGAACGCTTCATAATTATTGAATAATTATTTAATGAGAATTTTGTTTCTTTTTGCAGTATGTTGGTCGAGATGATGAAAGCAGCGATGATGAAGGATTGCTGTGTAAGTTTAACAACTTAATCACTTCGTGAAATTATTAAATTGAATTGCTTTCTGAAGACATAAGCATGTATTATAACTCTCATAGTACAACTTCAGCAAGATTCCTACACCCTCTTTCTTAGATCATCCAATAGAAAGAAGCCATTTATTCAAAATGATTGACTAAAACAACATTGCTTTAGTGTCCACTGCTAGGACAGCAATTTTAAGCATGTGCCTTGTTTTCATTGGGAACCTGAGGAAAAGGATTTAAGGAACCTTACCTAAGTTTAGGCTTCCGCATATGTAGTTTGGCTGCATGAAAATTATGAGCATTATCAATATTCTCAATGATATGCTTGGTGTTTGTATTAAATTACATTTTCAAAGCATACGCAGAGGTTGCATCTTTGTCGCAGACTGAGTTTTAAGATATAGTTTCTTCATAACCTATATATGGACTACTGCTACATAAACCTTTGAAGTTTTATGATTAGGTTCAGCAATGCATGTTGCACCCTTGATATATCTTAACCTTTGTAACATTCCACCCCTGGGGTGTATTTAATCAAGATATTTTGTTAAATAAGGTGAATTATGGGTGTTGGTAATGTGAGAAGATATGTGGGAGGGAAGGTGGAGATGAGAAAATAAAACAATATTTAATAATAAAATAAAAATAATATAATAATATAATAATAAAATAATAATTTAATATTTATGGTGGGTGACTAAGAAGATGTAATATTGAAAGACTATTTTGAGGAGTTATGTTCAACTGAAATGGGGGAGAGTAGGAAAACTTTAAAAGAAATGGAGTATTGATGGGGCCCATATGCATTATTAAATAAGGTAAAATAGTAAGTATATATTTAAATATTATGGTGATAATTTGGTGGAATGTGAATTTGATATTTTGTTTGTATATGTGTTGAAGGAGGAAAAATAGAAGAAAATTAAAGTCAAGGAAGTGGTGGAAGGATTCAATCGAAAGAAACTAAAAAGTTTGGAGGGTTAATTAATAAAGAGGGAGAAGCTGGAGGGTTTTGTGCTAATAACTAATTTTATAGTTTGGGAAATATTAAAGAGTAAAAAAGTTGGAAATATGTATTAGTGTAAATTGGAAGAAGGAAACTGTGACTAATCGCCCACAGAAAGCCATTTACGATGCCATGAGAAGGTGGTGTAGTGGGGGACATATAAGTCCCCACCGTGTGGAAGTGTTTGAATGCAAGAGGCATGGATGAAAAAGATAATCGGTTACTTATTCAAGAATTAATATTTTTATGTCCAAATAGGTTAATAAGGAAACATGAAAAGTTTACAATGGGATAAATTATAAATAAAGTGTAAAGATGAGAGGATGAAATCTAAGAAAAATCAACCAAAAAACAAGGTAACTGGCTAGATGTTCATATATATGTTTTACAAAGGATGAAGTGATTTACAAATACCAAAGCATGGAAATTTGCAAAAAAAAAAAAAAAAAACAATGAAGCAAACACTTCTTGAAGAAAATAAAAGGGGCACATTCTTTAGGAGAATCTGCCCATGAAAGAGAGCCTAAAAAAAAAAATGTACTTCAAGTTCTTCAAAATTTTTGGCAACTTTGCCTCTTGAAGGAAACTAAGAGCTTTAAGAAGATTTCCTACCTTCTTCTTTACAATCCTAGATTGCACTAGAGTATGAAATGTTAAGAATTTAACCATCCTAGTTCCCACAATGTTGATTTCCATTTCAACCCAAAAGCTTTGAGAGAAAAAGTGGTAGTGTTGGAGAGTTGTTGAATTAAAAAAAATTGAAGTGGGTTTTTATTCTCCATAACCCATGAGCTGTGGTTGATGGTGAATGAAAAATTTCAAGGATTTTTGCAAATTGAGGCTGTTAATGCAACCTTGAAAGGGATTAAAATTCTATTAGAGGAAATAGGTAGTTGGAAATTTTAGTAAACAAGGTAAGGGTGTAATACTTGAATTTTGTAAGTCAAGTTTAAAGTATTTACAGATTTTTATTGTAATGGCAGCTTGAAGAAGCAAAGTGGGCAGAATTTATTCGGCCTTTGGACGGGTTTAAGAGTTAGGAAGATGAGGTATGAAGGGAAGGGTGGATGGGGACTATTAACATTGTTGACCGGATATCAAGATTAATTGGTGAAAATAAAATATTGAACGGAATGCATAAGCTGATGCTTGAGCTGTTAACACAACATTGCTGTGTGAAAGTTGCTTAAACCGTAGCCTAGCACGAAGGAAGGTGAAAGTTTGTGAGGACTCAAAGGTAAGTAGGTGGGTGAAATTGAAGTTTGATTGATAAATTGTTGTTGACAGAATATATGAAATAATCAAATGTGCTGTGATTGCTAGGAATTTATGTGAAAACTGCCCGAAACAATATCTTAATGCTAAGAGGCAGATCGGTGGAGTTTAGGAGATTAGTAAGGAATGAAATTAGATATTTGACTTATGCTCTACATGCTAGTTATACACACAAAGTAGCTATTCTTAAATTATACTAAACGGATGCTAAGCATGTACTTAACGTGATTGATTAGGAGCTGTTTAAAGTAGTCCCTTGATTGCTAAACCAAAGTTGCTGGAAGTGGGAAATAGCGTAGACCATTGAACTTTGCTAGCGCCTTTAACCGAATCAAACTCAAGTTAAGAAGATTGGTTGGTAAAATTGGTGAGAAATCCCACCAATTTGGGTGAGTGGGTGTTAAATTTCAAAGCTATAGTCCTCTAGATATATACTTCTGTGTGTTGCACTTGTTGATTGAACCAAATTGTGGAAAGCATGAGCTGGTAGAAATCCTTAGGTTGTTTGTGGTTGTGATAAGGATTTTTGAACTTGTTTCTTTCCATATTATGTATATATACTTAATATATCTCAAAAATTATAGCTTTGAAATTTAGCACCCATTATAATTAAAATTTATAGATACTTTGAACTGGACTTACAAAATTCAAATTTCACACTCTTGCCTTGTTTATTAAAATTTCCAGCCACCTATTTTCTCTAGTAGAACTTTAATCCCTTTAAGGTTGCATTGACAGTCTCGGTTTGCAAGAATCCTTGAAAATTTTCATTGACCATCAACTATAGCTCACAGGTTATGGAGAATCAAGAGCCCACTTCAATGTTTCTTAGTTCAGCACCTTTCTAGCACCACTACTTTTTCTCCCAAAGCTCTCGAGTTGAGGTGGAAACCAAGATGGTGAGAATTCGGATGATTAAACCCTTAACATTTCATACTCTAGTGCAATGTAGGGTTGTAAGGAAGAAGGTAGGAAATCTTCTTGAAGCTCTCAGTTTCTTTCAAGAGGCTAAGTTAGCAGAAATTTTGAAGAATTTAGGGTATGCGGCTCTCGGGGCTTAGAGGGAACTGAGCAGATTTTTTTTTAGGCTCTCTTTCATTGGTAGATTCCCCTAAAGAATGTGCTTTTTTTTATTTCCTTCATGAAGTGTTTGCTTCATTTTATTTTTGCAGATTACCACTTACATGCTTTGGTCTTTGTAAATCACTCTTATCTCTTGTAGACTGTGTATATGGACATGTGCCGGTTACCTTGCTTTTTGGTTGGTTATTTTTAGATTTCATCATCTTATCTTTTCATTTTATTCATAATTTATCCCATTATAAACTTTGCATGTTCCTTGTGAGCTTATTTGGACATAAAAATACTAATTCTTGAATAAGTGGACGGTTATCTTTTTCATGCATGCCTTTTGCATGCAAATACTTTCACATGGTGGGGGACTCACATGTGCCCTACTATACCACCTTCCCATGGTTTTATAAATAACTTTCTATGGGCAATCGGTCTCGGTTTCCTTCTTCCAACATACACTTGTACATAGTTTCAACTTTTGTACTATTTAATATTTTTCAAGCTATAAAATGGTTATTTGCACAAAAACCTTTAACTTCTCTTTATTTATTAATTAACACTCTAAATTTTTTATTTTCTTTTGATTGAATCCTTTTACCACTCCCTTGACTTTAATTTTCTTCTATTTTTCCTCCTTAACATATATACAAACAAAATATCAAAATCACATTTCATCAAATTATCAGTGTAATATTTAAATATATTTACTTTTATATCTTATTTAAAATGGCATGTGAGCCTCATCAATGCTCCATTTTTTTTTAAAATTTTCCTACTCTCCCCTACTTTAGTCGAACCTAATTCCTCAAAATAGTCTTTCGCTATTACACCGTTTTAGTCACCTGCCGTACATATTAAATTATTATTTTATTATCTAATTTTTATTTTATTAATAAAATTTCTTCTTACAGTACCAACACCCATAATTCACCTTAGTTAACAAAATACACCCCGGGGTGGGGTGTTACAACCTTCCCTATATAGCTGGGGGAATATCTTTGATTAATAAGCTAAGGCCACAATGACTTGTAGCTGGTGCCTGGTGTTAGTGTTTTCATTTTCATGTGGTTTAGATTACTTGTTTCCCCTGCTAAGGCAACCCTACTTGCATGAATATATTTTGGTGCACTTATTTCTGCATTTCACTCAAGCAACTGGTGAGTCTTTAAGTAGTTAAAACTGGGTGAACAAGGGATAATTGAGTGGGATATCTGGTACTGTTCCATCCTAGGGAAAAGAGAGGGTTCTTTTGGTAGGTTGGGGAGTGGGTGAGAATATTTCTTTGACATTCCAAAAGGATGCTCGTTAATGATAAGAGGGTTGTATGATATTGTGTTTCTTGGTTAGTTTTGTTCACATTCCTCATCTCAATTGCTAGCGCCTCAGGTTTCTTCATTGGTTCCCATTGGTGGTTTGCTGTTCTTATGATTTTCTAATGTGCACTGCAGATCTTCCTGATTTGGAAAAGGCAAGAGGAAACTAAGTAATGAATCAGAGCTAACCAGAGACAAATGGAAGATGGACCTACTCGAGGAACAACTTAAATCCTGCTGTGGAATTATTAGAACTGGAGTTCATATATATTCATATCTAACCCCTTCTTCAAGGCAGAGGCCAATCCCAGATTAAGAGCACTAGGATTCTGAATTCATTTCAATCTATTTTTGCTTAACTTGTTTACAGTATTTGCTCATAAAATCATTATGATCAGACACAATGATACATCCATCTGCTTTATTTTCTACATTGTTTGGTCTTTCTTTGACTAGGCTGCTCTGCTTACCTGGTTTAACTGTTGAAGCTGTGTAATTTTCACAAAGCTTGAGATAGGGAAATTCAAGTTTTAATATTGTTAGAATGATAAAAAAATTAAAATATTTTTTTTTATTTTCTCAGGAAATATTCTTTCATGTTAAATTTTGATTGATTTTTGTCTAAATTAGAAAATAGTGATACAATTGCAACCACTTAAAAATAACTGATATCCCTAATATAAACTTGAATAGGGGGTAATATGCTAAATCAAGCCTAGATTATTTTGTATTTATTGACACAAAACTATTTGAATAAAGTGCCTTTGGAGCTCTCTTAGAATATTTTTAATAAAGCACAAAAATGGAAGGTTAGAAGATTTCTTCATTCATAATGTACTCATTTGTTTTTCATTTTAACCTCAACATCTTATCTGACAGAGCAAGAATTGCAGGATAAAAACCCATATATATACATGGTTCAAAGTTGTATTAGACATAATTTTTTCCTTTTTTTTTTTTTAACTTGTCTTATAAGTATTGTCTTCATTGTTTTATTGTTTTTATTTTCTTTTCAAATTAATCGGTGTTTGAGGTATTGGAGAAAACTTAAATCCTTTCTTTCTAATAATTTATCATTATATAATATAGCAAATTGATTATTTTACTAGGGTATTATTTAAATTTGTGTCTTTTCTATTTCCAAACACAAACTTCATTTCAAGTATAGATAAATAAATAAATGAATTTTTATTTTTATTTGGTCTTTAAAATCCATTCCTGCCTCCCATCTTTTTTAATTTTTTTGAAAAATCCGTTACGTTTAATAGATTTTGATTAATTCATTCTAATGATAATATTTCTCAGCAGTTTGTAAGTTGTAAAGATTCAAAAAACGGCTTTTGAAAAAAGAATTTGATTTGTATTAAATAAACTATAATTTATATCATATCAAGTCATATTTATTCTGTCGATAATTGTTAATTTTAATAATAAAATCTGTTCAATAAACTTCCCATGATGAGATTTTTTCAAAAACTCGTGAGAGGAGATAATATCTCAAGATTTTACGTAGAAGGATCAGATAAATATTTATCAATTATAACAAATAATTGAAAATTTTTATGAATTTTTGTATCTTAAGATTGTGTATGTTACATAGTTGAATGATATATATATATATATATAAATATAAATATAAAATTAATTTTATTCATAATCTAATTTTAACTAACTCACAATAATTTTAATTAACTATTTTAATCAAATTCAACAATATTATTATATAATAACTCTAATGAGATAATTTGTATTGCCTTTTTTTTAGGTTAAATTTTATAATTATAATTAAACTAAGATTTGGTAACAACCCTAATAGAATGAAGTCTAAGCTTGCATCTATGTTTGCGCAGAGTACAAAAGGACACTGAAAATAACATACTGAGAGAGACATACAGCGTGGAGGTCAGAATTATAGAGCCATCCCACTAGATTCAGCTTCGAGATACTTACAGATCCTCTCCATAACCCCTCTGCCCTTCACACTTTTTGTATAAACCTCTTAGCACACCGTTGCTCAACTATTAATTTCTGCCACAGCTGATAATGGCTTCATACGAATACTAGTCTGAGTCTCCTGTCGACAAATTGTCCAGCCTGTTGGACTAATTATCTGGGTGAGGATCATACCGTATCTTCTGCTTTACCTCTTATCAACTTCTGGAGACTGACATTACGGGTTGTAAGTTGCATTGGTTTAGATTGGGCATCAACAACTGTCGATTCAACACAGTGGGCAATGATGTTTTGCGGCTAGGATCATGAATGGTAAGAGCACGACTTAAGAGGAGACTGCAGAGCACTTATGCAGTGCTATAGGAAGACTGTCCAGTAAAGGTGGTAGAACAAAGTTTGCTGTTGACATCAAGATTGTTGGGATTGTCTTTGCAGCCTCATTTTTAGAATAATAAGATCTAGTATACATTCGTGTCTATTTTCAGCTATATTTTAGACAAACAAGTATAAAACCAGATTGACGTAAAAGATTCAGAGTGTTTACGCCAAAATGCATGCCGGCCTATTAAGGACAGGCAGGAGCCTTGTCAACAATTCGAACTGGGGTAGGTGGGATTGAGTCCCACCATTCTTTCAGTCGCCGTTCTCCTTGGTTGTTCCTTATGTACTTCCCTAACTTTGATGTCATGATCGCGGAATGAAATACAGCAGTCATTATGAGATACTTTAAGGGAACCACTGCCAACAATATTGCCAATCCGATCATCGCCAGCATCACCCTTTCTGCATGCTGAAACCAAGAACAGGTGTGTGAATTTGATGGGTGTACGACATTCAAATGAAAAATTATCATTTGTTTGATAAGTTAAACAGAAACCTTAAAGTACTTTGCACAAGGACACATCAGCAACCAAGGATTTCTCCAATACCAAAAAATGTTCGAGAGCTCAGTAGCACTCATATGAAATTTTTACTCTAATTATCTGTTGATGCCCTCAATAGAAATATTTATAATTTATATGTGATTGTGGTTTGCTGCTTCGCAGACACTCAACTGAACTATGCTATAATTCCAAACTAATTGAGGTGAGTTACAGGAATTCTTCTGCTCTACTTGGGCTTATAAAGAGTAAAAATCCTACAATGACTCCTCATTGCATTACAAGGTATGAAATGTAAGCAGTAATTTCTTTAAGCATAAGTACAACTCTAGTATTTCCTTATGAACGGTATATAGTCCATTGTTTATTGCCTTCGATAGTCTAACATGCAATTTTGTGCTTACTCAAAACATGAGGAAGCAAGAGCTAGCCACAACACTATTGAGAATCCCATGAGAAAAAATTTTCCCACTTTTACCATAAATCTTGCTTTATAATGGAACAATGCACTTTTGCATTTGGAAGAAGTAAAAAAATGCATTTCATTATGTTTAATCTTAAATAAGTTGCCAAATTAAAAGCATGTTTAGTTGCATGAGTACCTTGTGTGCTCTTGAGACCAGAATTGAATGCAATTTCAGTATCGTTACATTCGCTTCCTGGATTATCCCACAAATGGTCATAAATCCGTAATGAGCTGAAACTATGTTCTCTCTTGTAGAGGCAGTCTGGTCAGAGGCGCTGCACACAACTATCTCCTTTTGTTTGTCTTTAAGCCTTTCTTGTCTAGCTCGGATCATTTTTGCTAACACCAGAAGCAAGCCTGAGGATATTGCTTTGCCAACCCATTCCCTACAACAATAACATGATTTGTATTTGATGTATTATTTTACGATATGAAGTTTGCATACAGATTTTGAAAAATTCTTTTAGTAGGTTAAAGAATGAAAGCAGGGCCAAGAACAACTTACTTGTACGCAATTAGTATAATTGCAGCAGCTACAGCAAGGGTAGTTGCTGGTCTTTCCCACGAAAGGATTTGTTGGAACCAAAGGAATACACCTTTAAGTGGCTTTAGTAGCTCCTATAAATGCCAAAAGAATAAGTGTAACAAATTAATGTTCTTGCATCAATCCTAGAATCTATTCTTTAAGAAAGCAAGATAAGCTGAGTAATTAAATCTGTATGAAAAGTTTCATTGCCTCTCCTAGTCAAAATAAAAGAGAGACAGAGAGAGAGTGTTTGTTCAAACACTAGTTGGCTCAAAGCCAACTATGGAATTGCACATCATGATAAGATGTGCACTCTCTACCGCAATTTAAAGCACATTTATTGCTTACCATGAAAAGATGGGCATTATATTTCAACAGGTAATTACCATAAGAATGAGAGCATTTTCACTGATCCCTTCCTCTTTCAGCCCCTCAATTGCTGATTTAGCAATCGCAACTTCCCTTTCTTCCCTTCTCGTTTGATTGATGGCAGTCTCCAAAGAGGTTTTATTATGATATTCACCACCCGCAACAGTTTTCTTCACCTCATCAGTCACTGTTTTTGCTTCTAAACTTGATGCAATTGACTCTGAAAGGTTCATTCTCCTCAGTATTGAGCTTGCACTACATGGTTGTCCACTATTTACCCTCTTTAGACTCTCAGCAAGCTGTTCCAATACATAGTCCCCCTTAGGTAACTCATCATATAAAGCAAAAATCAAGAATTTTGTGGGATTCGGGGGAGAAATTCGTAGCATTTCTCTTGCTGCGTGAAGCCTTATAATGCTCAAAATGGTCCTTGCATGCATCTCCCATGCTTGTATTGGACATTCCACTTTGAATTCAGATAAAAATTTGTGCATTAGCAGAACCTCCTTTGTGAGTGCTAGCCAATGGTCACGCCTTGTGGAGCTCGTTATCTCTGGAAACTCCAGCACAACCCCTTCTGGTCTAGAAAAATTGGAGAGCTAAAGTCACTCAGAATACCAACAATCCAATTTATCAACATACTTTGCTCATTTATAAGCTTAAGGCAAATCATTACTCTCAAACTCTCGACACCACTTAGTTAGACTAAGCTAAAAAATCCACCACCAAGCTGTCAGTGATTCCAATTATCAAGCAGTTAAACTTTCTGGCAGATTTTTTACAACAACATGAAAATCAACCACAAATTGATGACCGGTACATTATTGACGTGAAATTTGAGAGTTAGGGTGGGTGAAAATTGGTACTTCCAAGTGAAACTAATGAAAAATTCTACACCATCATTAAGCTTTACCTACATGTTATTATGTCGGACTTTGAATGAAATAGTAACAGTAATATTACCTAGAATTCTATGCAAGTATATACTTACAATTCAGGGGATTCATAGGTTATGGCTTTGTCAAAAAGTGGAGCACCCCATGGACCTGTGGCAGCTGGTTTAACACCGTGATCAATGTCCCTTGAAAGGTCAATCTTAAGTGCATCTTCATATGTTATCACTCCAGAAGCCTCAAAGTAGAGAGCATAATTAGTCAGTGTAAGCCTACCTAGAAAAATAACATCCAATGTAAGTAATTTCAAAAGTAGCAATCACTTGAGAGATCATAAGATAGAGATTTATTTGATCACTTGTCCATTATGATAGTACAAAAAAGGAATCAAACACAAACCAGGCCAACTCGTTCCTCCAATATGGCGCACTACTCTCTGTGTGCTAGCTGTTCCCTCCACATGCAGTATAAATTCATCATCAGCTAACTCCACACCTTTTGGCTTTGCTTGGTTTTGTAAATGTTTTATGCGGCTGTGGGACCAACAGTTGAACAGAAAAGGGGGGAAAAGAAACGACTTAGAGTATTGCAAACAAATTTTTTGGTGCTCTACACAAAGTTCAAAACAAAGAAAGTAAGTTGTGCAAATTTTGGTAGCATTGGGGTTTGTCTATGCCTCATTTTTAACAGAGAGTGGTGATAATTAGTTTGTCTATGGCTCACTCATAGTGCCGGTTTATTATGGTATATCCATTGATGTTTATGCAGGTAACTTAAAATTACAATTACATGGTGGCAACAAATGGACAACCAGCAGTGCCAGCTATGATAATAATTATATAAGTAGTTAATTCTCCAATACTAAAAGAACGTGGTGCCATACTTGCAGCAGAGTGGACACTATACATTGCCATCAAAGCTATTAACTTTCCAGTTGTGTATAGATTAAACTGAGGGGGAGAAAACAGAATTTAGGCATGAAAACAATGGTGAGATGGAAAATAGGTTTAGTTAGAATTTAGAGACTAGATTCTGCCAATGCCAAATAGCATAACCATCTCAGATGGAATTTAAATTTTCCACACTCATCATTGCTAACTATAGCGGATTGGTTTTTTCTTTCAAGTAGAGTTTAGAAGCATACTCATCAATTTCTTTTAGATATTTATCATATGCAGGGAAAAAGAGCCGGTTTCCAGTAGGTACAGTTAGAGTTTCAAAAGTGAATCTTCCATTAACAATATCAGCAACTAATGGAACTAATGATCCCAACCACACAAAAGCATCTTCTGCAACACTTGGTTCATCATTAACCTACCAAGAAATTTCACAAATCATCAGCAAAGAAGCAAGAAGAAATGACAGACACACAGTGTCATTGGCAAAATCAATCAATTCTTTCTGAGAATAAAATAAAATTGATATTGCTTATGACTAATTAAGGCAATTGAATGATAAGAAAGAAATTTTTTTACGAGGAGTGGCATCAGGTCTGAATAGAAAAGAGGGATATCATCCTGCTCCAGAGGCACTTCTACTGGTGACTTTATACCTTCTTTCTCCTTGGCAATGCTCTCCTGCCAACTCAACATAATAGTATAAGTACAATGTTGGAGGGAATATGATCAACAGATAAATTCTGACAACTTGAGCACAAATGTTATGAAGACAATGAAAACCATATTTTTCATTGAATATTTTCATCAAAAATGCAGTTTTCTAGTCAAATGTCACTCAGACAAATGATCACAACTCAGAACTTAAGCCAACTCCGAACTTCACTACTGAGAGGTTGAATATGCTCACTGTCTGGGACTCTTCATTGACAGCATTAGGCTTCTCCCAAGCTAGCATCATGTCATATGTGAACCGGCTGAATGGTGTCTTACTTATCCTTTCTTCTATATTTTGACACAATTTAATGAGAGCTTTTGAGCTGCAAAATTTCACTAATTTTCTCGAATAATCGCCCACTTCAGGCTTCCATGCAGCATCAAATTCTTCTACCAAGTTATCCACAGAAGTACCTAGTTCCCTGGGTAAAATTAAGCATAACAAAGCATTCTAATTATGTTATGCTTGAGTATTATTCCAATACAATTCAATTTGGAAAAAAATAAATAAATAAACTAGTACAACTACAATATATATAATTGCTAGAAATTATTTCAAAAATATCTCATGTTCTGTAATGATCGTCTATCTCCACTCAATATAAATAATGAGCCTAACTGTAACTCTCAGAAAACCTCAAGTATGATGTTCTTTTTCTTTATTACATGAGAAATTGCTAATACATTAATATATTGTAATGTTCTAAATATATCAAACCTTAACCAGATTAGAGTCTTAATTTCATGTTGATTTTATTATAAAATACTACTATATGTTTTTTTTTCTTGAATTTGACTGTTTTCCATTGATTTTTAATACCCAAGAGACCTTATTCACATTATTATATATATTTGAAACTCAAGACAGAGTAACTCTCTCACCCCAATAAAGAGGTCTAATTATAAAAGATTAAATGCTGACACAATGAAAACTCACTAAGGAAACTATAGAGAGAGAGAGAGATCAGATATGTAAGTATATTACTCTGCACTTCTTTGGAGAACATGGTTGGCAATGGAGGAAAGATGCTTCAGCTTCACCATCTTCAACGTCCTGTACCTCTGTCGTTATGCTTCTTGCTGGGCCTGTGGCTTTTGAATCTTTGATTTTTGATATATGAAAGGAGAAGGCAAAAGTAGAGAGAGGTGGGTTGTTTCCTTGTTTGTTAACTTCCTAGGCTGCCACGTTTGCGTGGCCATGCAACCACCTGCTGCTTCCTCGATCTCCATGCACACCTCACGTTCTACCCCTTTTTTTCAAGATTTTAATGTAATTTAGAGCCTAATCCCTCCTTCTACAAATGACAGGCTCATGTAAACCCAATTGTCCCAATCTGCTATGGGCCGACCTAGGCCCTTTCTGAGTTGATAGGTTATACAGGGCCAAACATGCCCAGTACACCCATTCTCAGAGAGCTCAGCCTAAAAACAGTCTTTGCTCCTTGTGACAGTCACAACTGTATAATTTCCAAAAACGTGCTAGAGCAAAGTCTTTTCGATTCACAATTTTCACATCCCCTCCCCTTCCCTCCCCCGTATTCTCCTGGTCTCTTCAGCTTCTCTCCAATGATGAAAGATTCCGATTTGTCTTCCCTTATTCGACTTAACATTGGTAAAATTCTCTACAATTCCTATAATGTTTATATTTCAACCTCTACTTTATGTGGTCTTTTTCATATCAAAATTCTCCATCAGTTACTTATTTTGGCAAAAAGTTAGAATTTTTGATCGGTTCATTTATAAACAAGAAAAACCCATTTTTAGTTTAGCTTTATTTAACTGGGATTAATGGCTTAAACCCTTTGGATTGGATTAATGAGCTGAATTGGGTAGTTGACTAACTCTGTTTTCTGTTTGGTTGCTGAGATAACTTAGGAATTTGATTTACACTTCAACTTTATGCATTTGCTTTTCTGGGTGCCACTTTTTTTTCTTTCTAAGTTTTATCTTTTTGTTAGTTTTCTCGTTGTCGGATTTGGTTACACCAAAAGTTAATGCCTTCAACTGAACAAAAATCTGTGGGCAGGAGGGAAGAAATTTTGTACTACTATTGATACATTGACCTGCCGTGAGCCTGACTCCATGCTGGCAGCTATGTTCAGTGGTCGCCATACGTTGTGTCAGGACTCTGAGAAGGTATATATACTTTTCTTTGCCTTGGTTGCCACACTGTCATTTGTTAATATGTAGACTTGTTAGGTTTTATATTCTGAATTTTTCCTGTGAGTGAATAGTAAATGTGGTCTCAGCAAAGAAATTTAGTGTTTTTTTTTTGTTAAGTGGTGGAATAGTTTTCCTCCTACTCTATAAGAATGTGACTAGGTGTCACCCGAATCATGACTTATTTTCTTAATTTGATTCATTTATATTTATATTCCTATTATGGGGAGTGAATGATGCAATCCATTTCTTGGAGCGATGCAGTCATTGTACTTTCAAATAAATATTTTTGTTTATGAGAAGGATCTTTGCTTAGAGTGATTTTGGATGAGAGGTTTGGTGGAATGTTCAATTTATCACACATGATAAATTGTAGATAAAGATTGTAGAAGCATATTGGTATAAAAATGTTTTAAGAACCACTAAAATGATATCTTTTTCCTGTTCGCAAGGAAATACGTTCACATCAAATATTAGAAATTGTCTTCATATTGGTTCATACCATTGAAGTGTATATTGTACGAGCATATGTATGAAACTTCAATGCACGAGTATTTTTTTTATCAGTTATGTCTTGTTATCATTTTCTCTTTCCAAAAGAGGCTATGACCACAAATTTTGAAGGTGTTTTTCTAAATTTTCTTGAGCTACATCTTGGATATCATTTCAGGCATCAGTGCACTTCTAGTTCTTTATAACTTACAGATGGTAGCATGCCAAATTTGGTACTTGAAAGTTATGTGTTTTCACTGAGTAATGAAAAACAGTTTCCATTTCCCCCATAAAATTATCGACACAAAGTAACAGAAGGGAAAAAGGAGGAGAACGGAAATAAGTTATATGTACTTTTGATATAGTTCATATTGGAGTTCTACATGAGAAGTAACTTTGTTTGAATACAGATATTGAATCATATTCCTTGATCACATTGAATTCTTGCAGGGATATGTCTTTGTTGATAGGGATGGAAAGCATTTTCGGCATATTCTAAACTGGTTAAGGGATGGTGTTGTTCCCACATTGACAGATTCTGGATATTCAGAGCTCATGAGAGAGGCAGAATATTACCAGCTACTTGTAAGCTATAGCTTCTTATAGTATCTACTTTCACTCACTTCTAAGTGCTATTTCATTACTTTTTTCTGCCAAGTTCATGTCACTTAAAGAAATATCCTTGCATTGTTAAATACATGGTCAAGGCTTAAGGTGCATTGAGATTGTATGATACATGGTACTGCCTTTATGCATTAGCTCTAGTGGTAGAGGGTGGTTTTGGGATGTGGATTGGCCTATAAATAGGATTCAATACTGCTAATTAAAAATATTCAATTTTTTAATATCCCAGTTGATATTTTATCAGTTTATGGATTGAAACTCAAGGACATATTTCGTGCCAGCAGCCCAGGTTCTTGTGGACAACATTAACCTAAAATTCAGGAAAAAAAAGTATAGGAAAGGATTTTGTTGTTGTCTCTATCTACTTTGCTATTAAGGCTTAATTGAATGGGGTTGAGCCATATTTGGTTTTCTGTAGCACATGCATTCTGCATAATTTTTTGTCCTTTTGCTTTAAAAGCCTTTAATTAAGTTATGATAATTAATTTATATGAAAGAAAGTGCTGTTTTGTTTGTCAAATAAAAGATAGATGGCATAGCTTACAATCTATAATGTAAAACCAAATCCTGTGCTGCTGTTTTTAAGTTTTGAAGCCTTGTTTAAATGATACTCCAGGCATGCTTGAGTGCTTTAAGCAGGGAGAACAATTTCTTAGAAATGATGTACAAGTCCATTAATGAGCATAATGCCATTGTGTGTTATAAATCTATGTTCTTTTTCTTTTTAAAATTATTTATTTCTTCTCTAGAACATTTTTCAGAAGTTGAATCACACATAATGATGTACTGTACTTATCTATTTTTGCATGATTTATATATCTTGGTTTCAGCGATGATCCTGTGAAACATTACTCATCATGTTTCTCACTCTTATAGTTTGGGTCATTGACTCCTTGTTGACTTTTGTTCAATAAGAAATGAATTTTCATGCTTATAATTTCAGGGACTAATAGAAGGAATCAGTTCTGTTTTGAATAAGAGGAAGGAAGATGATGACTTGGGTGCTGAATTGACACGTACTGATATCATCAAGTGCATACAGTCTGAAAGAGTTAGATTTCGGGGAGTTAATCTTTCCGGCCTTGATCTCTCTAAATTGGTAATGATTTATGTTAACACTTTTGGTTTTCTGCCAAGTAGAGTCTTGTTTCACAGAAAGTGAGACTTATGTTTCTTTGAATCTGAATGTTGGATGTCTATCTTTAATGTCATATGACTGTTTGTAGTTCAATTTCAGTCTTAGAAGCAGATATATTATTGCAATCTCCAATGTATTATACTTTTCTATTTCTTCAATTGTGCAGGATCTTTCATTTGTGGATTTCAGCTTTGCCTGTCTTAAAAGTGTATTCTTCTCACGTGCAAATCTTCAGTGTGCAAAATTTCGGGTAGGCCTAATTTTTTTTTTGTGAAGTATATCATTGACTGTGTATGCCTTAATTAGGTTTAGTTTATACTTGCTTAACATTCTAACTTAACCACGTGATGTGAGAATGGTTGTACATGGTTCCTTGGTGTCTTTGGTACTTTATGGTTGTTATCTGGTTGATGGATCACTTGTAACCTCTCTATTGTCATTGCAGGATGTGGATGCTGAGGGTTCTATTTTTCACAATGCAACTTTGCGTGAGTAAGATCGTTACCCTTATTTTTCCTTTCTGGACCATTATTTTTTCTTGTGAACTGTAATCTTAATTGTTTTATTTTTGCCTAGGAAAGGTGTGAATTTACTGGGGCAAATCTTCGTGGAGCTTTACTAGCTGGTGCTAATCTTCAGAGTGCAAATCTTCAAGGCAAAATTTTACCATCTTTCTACAGTTAGTTGATTTCTTATAAATGCTACTATGTACAGCTATTGTTTGAAATATTAACAGATTTTTATCTTCATCAATTTCAATGTTGCAGATGCCTGTTTGATAGATTGTAGCTTCTGTGGGGCAGATCTTCGTTCTGCACACTTACAGGTGATCATTAAATTGAATATAATGTGCATATACAAGGAAGAAAGTACAAGACTTTAGCTTACAATGAAATTCTTAGTAATATATTTAGATTCATTCTTGTTTGAGCTATAATGATCCTCTGGATTGAATGATTAAATAAAAAATATATGCTATGGTAAAAAAAGAAAACATTAATTCTTCATAAAGATGGACTAAGGATAAGCCCATCATTTAGCATACGAGGTAATGGTTTGTAGTTGGGTGTTAAATTGCCAGTGAAGTTACGTAACATGTTTGATCAGTGTGAATGATGGCGATGATACATTTTGCATAGGAGTTCATGGTTTGAGTGAAACTATTGACACATATAAACATCAAAGAAGAGAATAATTCGTTGATTTGTTGGTATTTTATATTATGCTCATTGTTGCATGTTTCTTGACTGATTGGGGTTTTCTGTGTGGGCCTTTTGTGATATTGTAACCATTAATATGCTTTATCTCTGGATTTTTAGACTGCTGATCTCACAAGTGCCAACTTAGAGGGAGCTAATCTTGAAGGAGCCAATTTGAAGGTAGGCAGATGCTTAAGGATGGTGTTTCCATATCAATCGCTTTGGTTCATATATTATTTTTATTTTGAGCTATAGGAAGGTATCAATTAGGTGGCCCAACAGAAAGTGCTGGTGCGTATTTAATACATGTATTTATAATAGCTTAATCTGATATGCTGATCAACTTATCCTGATAACTTGAGCAAGCTTAATAATTTATATAAGGGAACTTGAACGGTTATGGCCTGACATTTTGTAAGTTTCCTTTCCAACTCCTATTGTGTTGATAATTAGTTTGTTGTAATTGCATGTTTTTCAGGGTGCAAAATTAAGTAATGCCAATCTTAAGGGTGCAAACCTCCAACGAGCTTATTTACGACATGTTAATCTTCGAGATACAGTAAGTAAATCAGTTTTACAATTTGCAAATTTGTTTGGATAGTAAGTTAGTGGTTCATCTAAAATTTTTGGACTGCACCTGCTGATGTGGGTCAAAGTAAAAGGATTTTCACATTTGTTCTTCAAAATATCTTACTGGAATTCATCATGTGATTTTTGTTTCTTAATCAGCATTTGGAAGGTGCTAAGCTTGATGGTGCCAACTTGCTTGGAGCAATCAGGTGATGATGTAGAAAGCTTGTATATATACATACCTACATACATACATATATATATTCACAGATATGGATTTACATTGGATGTAGGCAATAGGGGCTGCTGCCCCCGTGGAAATCCTATTACTCTTTGGTAATATTATGTAATTACTGCAAGCTCCAGAGAAGGTTTAACTTTGGTTGTGCCCATTGAAATCTAATTAAAATCATCTCACCTGTAAATTTTATGAGTATTAATATCACATAATCAGTAGACTTTAAGAAATTCTACTTTTCTATGCATGTAACTCTGGGAGGGGATATGACAAGTGATATGAGACCATAAGTCTTGAAGCTTTTTTAGTTTTCTATATAGTGGATATAGGAATGGGGTTGAAAATATCCATCCCTTGGCCATATTCAGTGAGCTGACAGATTTTCTCTCTCTTAAGAAGTGTGAGGTACATATTGGAAGGACCATGCTCAAGGAAAATCAAAGTCAAATCCAATGAATACAAACAGTTTTCATTAACTTGATAAATGGTATCATGAGATTTTTATGACTTGTGGATGCAGTCAAGATGTGGGTGAGAATGGAAGGGGAGACTATCTCATGTCACAACCGCTTGGATTTATGATGGTATTCGGTGTGTTATAATGTAACGTTATTGCTGAAGGGGTAATATTGTAACATTAAAAAATATGAAAAAATATCGATTATAATATTAAAAAGATAATATCACAATATTTGATCTAAAAGTAATGATGTTGAATGTTGAAAATACGATATTAATATTAAAAATTATTTTATACATGAAATATGCTATTCTTCAACATTAAGTAGTTATAAAATATTTTTAATTTTTAAATATCATCACTTACTTTTTCTTTTCTTTTCTTTATTTATTTTATAAAATAAATAAATAAAACTTAATTATTAAAAAGTAAATGAAAGTATATTTAAATAAGTATAACGTTTGAAAAAGTCTTTAAATTATTTAAAAAATATTTAAATAAATTTTTATTATTTTATTAAATTTAATTAAGTTATTATATTTTTATTTTCGGTCAATTGAGCCTTTATGATTAAAATTTTTTGAATCAATATGTTTTTATCATTTTATTTCACGTAGTGTTAACATAATTTAAAATATAAAAAATGTAATAAAATCATGTTATATAATATATCATTATTTATTATGACATGTTAAAATTTCACGTCAATATTTTGTGATATAAAATTATAAATGTTATTTTAATTAAATTAATTATTAATTATAAAATTTTTTATATTTAAAATAATAAAAAAATGTTGTAACTCCTCTGGGGCGGCACGTCCTCAAACCGTGTTATATATGACAACATTGACCTACTATTCAATCAACTTCTCTTTACAAAATTATAAAATCATCGTGTTTTCCATTCACGCGAAATTGGAGGTTGAGTACATCACGATGAAATCGTTGAGCAAGTCTTATCCTTCATGGACATAGAAAATATCCATGACAGATTTCCTCTCTCCCTTTTGGAAGGACCATGCCCAATGAATGCAAACATTTTCCATTAACATGACAGACGGTTTCATGAGATATTTATGACATTTGGATTCAGCAATAAAGATGTGGGTGAGAATGGAAGCAGGCCACAACCCTTAGTTTCAAATGATATTTGGTCAAGGATCTGTCATTGGATAATGCTCAAACTTTTGGTGACCCTTAAATTATCTGGGAATTCTTTTTTTTTTTTGGTCTTTTTTTTTGGGGTTGCAAATCTAGATCTAAAACCGGTCGGTGGGCGTTTACCTGAAAAAAAGGGAAATTGAAATAATAAGCCATTGGTCGGTTGCATTATAACCAAGAAAAGTAAAGAAAAGGGTGGGCTAATTTTAAAGTAGGACTATTATTTCACTTTCATGGTTATATATTTTTTGCTGGGAAAGAGGAAGACTGTGTAATATTTAATGTCATTCCTAATTTAACCTTCATTTAGTTGTTACCCTTTTTTTTTTCTTTAATAAGATATAAATACAAAAAATATATTTGCAAAATCATAAGCATAACTTTGTAATATTTAAAGTGATTGCTAGTAGAGTAAAGTGACATATAATAATATATTACATGTTTTTCAAAGGAAAAAAAAAATAAAGTTACATTGTTTAAAAAGAAGATTCCTTACTTATCTTTACATTTGAGTTATCGAATCAAGCTCCTTATAACATTTCAAAAGTGAAAGTAAGTTACGAATCATGTTACTTATTTTGACTTCTCATCATAAAAGATAATTCTTAAAACAAAATTAAAAAAAAATCAAGCATCTTTTCGTACAAAAGTTCATCTGTTTCTGGAAGGTAGATACGTCTCTACCTTATTCATAAGCTCCATTGTCTATTATTTTTTTTTTTTCAAAATCCCCAGTATTGCCTTTTGTTTTTTTAATGCATCCTATTTTTGTTTTCTTTTACTTTATATGAGCATAAGTCAAAAGTAACATTCTTGCTTCAGTGAGATGCAAATCCTTTTGGGTAAATTAGTTATCTGTTCTCATCATTAATTGTGTAAAAAACTTAATTAGATACAATTAGCAACAGCATTTTTACATAATCAAAACCAATAGCTAACACCAAAAGTTACCATCCAAAGTTCCAACTGAAGTATAATTCCATCAAATTTATAATTTGTTTCTTTGGAAATTATAAATTTATTTATCCAAAAATTATAAATTAGTTATCCGCTTCTCGAATTTTCATTCAATTATTATTATTTGAATGTACATTGAATTTAATTATCAGGATCCAAACTTAATACGTAACAACTGGCACAAATTCGATTGCGACAAAAAAAGGAATAAAAATAAGCCACTTGGTTCCAAATGCTTTGCAAAGGGGTGACACATGGAAACAAAATGGATTGCCACTAAAATGTTCCCGGCAACAGCATAACATTCCCCCAAAATTCTGTCGGCAATCAACGATTGACGTCCACGTGTCTTTGCGCAAAGTAAGGGGATGATTTAAAGAAGCGATACCTTTTTTTTTCAGTGGAAATAAAGTCACAGGTCAGTAAAGTAGGTGCGAAATGAAGGGACGCGGAGGGGCCCATCAAGATGATGATTTTATCGGCTTTGAAGATGAAGATTTATCATCAGCTGACCATACGATGCAACGCGTCAGAGCCACGTGATTTACTGTCAAAATCGGTAGCATTAAATGCTGTGAAAGAGATTAGACGCAGATTCATGCCTTCCCTCATGCTATGCCACGTGGCCATCTTTTGTGGATAGAAGTTTCAAGTTAACGAACCAAAAAAAATTTATCAAAATTCCAAAGTACAAAGCAATACCACTTATAATTGATGACCGTATATTATTAATAAAACAAATATTATTATGTTATTAATAAATATTTGTTTTTAAAAAGTTTTAAATTTTATTATCTTATGTTTATGATAACATTAATATATAAAACTATATATGGATAACATATCATATATAAACATTACTATATTTTGATCAAAAGAATGGATTTTATTTATGTTTACGTGATTTATAGATGGAATTATTGTACATAAATATAATTAATTGATTCTTACACCTTATAACTTTTCATACAAATCTAAATACATTGGTTTAAAATTTTATCTTATCCTCTCCCCTTTGGAACATATGATAAAATTAAAAGATGAACATACTAATTAAAAAGAGTGCAAAGTTTATTCAAATGAACTATTGTTTCCTTTATTTCTTCAAGTAGTATATCCATTTTATAGATTAATCCATGTATCATCCATTAATTTATAATGGACCATCATTTCCATTCCTTAATAAATTTTTGACGGTAAGAGGCAACCCACACACAACACGCCGCGTACACGGGTAAAAGGGTGTTAATGTAATTTCCTATTTATAAGAAGGATAACGTTCGGTGACGAACTAAAAAAATCTAATGCTACTGTCTTGCTTAGCTGCCTATAAATAGCAACCAAAACTGCATCAATTTGTGTACCATCGCAAAAGAATCAAAAGATATATCAAGACACCAGAGAGCAAAAAAGAAAAAGAGAGATCCGAAATGTCAGGAATCATGCACAAGATCGGGGAGACTCTCCACATGGGAGACCACAAGAAAGAGGAAGAGAAGCATAAGGGAGAAGGTCAACATGGACATGGTGGAGAGTACAAGGAAGGTCACCATGGTGGTGAGCACAAGGAAGGTTACTATGGTGGAGAGCACAAGGAAGGTTACTATGGTGGAGAGCACAAGGAAGGCCAGCACAAGGAAGGGATGATGGATAAGATCAAGGACAAGATCCACGGCGGTAGTGCTGAGCATGGCCACGACGGGGAGGAGAAGAAGAAGAAGAAGAAGGAGAAGAAGAAGCACGAGGATGGCCATGAGAGCAGCAGTAGCAGTGACAGCGATTGATCAGTTCAACCATCGTCTCCCCGATATATACCTCTACTAGTCTATATTGGGTAATTTAACTCTCTCTTTTTTTCCTTTTTCATCTCATTGATCATCGTGTCCACAATTGGAATCGTCCGCAATTGAAGGAATAATTAATTGAACAATATATGCATGTCCTTTCCATTTTCTAGGTATAAAATTTCGTATATATTTTCTTAATCCATTTTTTCTTGTTGGTTTATCCTTGCAGGTGTATGGGATTGATGTGAAGGCTTGTCTAATTATGTCTTTTTCTTATATATTTTAGCTTCAGCTGGGAAAAAAAAAAGAGAGAGAGGATGTTTGCTGTTTGGTATTACATATGGTGTGGAATGTATTTAGGCAGGGTGTGAATGGAAATATGATATGAGAATAATATGTTTCCTGTTTGATAATGCTATTCCCTCTTGTGCATGTTTTCTCTTTCACTTCTCAGAGGAGGAAGAGATTATTTTTGTCCATTTTTAATCAAGACTTTAAATATCAAGGAAAATAGGGAACTATATCAAGAATATATGGAAATATTTTTTCCATATCAAAGATATTTTTATAAAATTTAATATAAAAATAAATTAATATTGAGAGGATTTATTGAATTGATTGTCCTTATTGAAAAATTCAAGTCATGTACCGTTATCTCCGCTATTTTATTAGATATCATTGGGGATTAGTGTCCCCACAAAATGATAAGCAAAAGAATCCAATCATCAAGAAGAATGGTACTCTTAAGAACAAATCAAGTATTACAGTATCAGTATGTGATTTTACTCAAACATCACTGTATTTAATTATTTGATTTAAGTAATCTCATTATGAAGTACATGGTTGAAGATAAGCAAAGAACAAATTTGGAAATGGGACTCTGTTGATCTAGCCATGGAATGGACCTCTCCATGTTAAGAGGCCCAGTCTATATTGCTGTATATAACTCAAAAGTGCAATGTACTTTTACATATGTATGGTGGAATCACATTATCAAAGGAAACTTGTGTCTGTAGCAAACTCATTTACTTTACTTGCTGGCATATCTGGAAAGGTAGATGTAAAGCTAGTTTTGAAACAAGCTACCAGATGGGAGGAAAGACAGTGAATAGAATCACAAGGACTTTTAGCTGAATTTTGGGCTCAAAAATAATTGAACAGAATATAGCAAGATCAAATGAGAAGTGGGGAAAAATCAGATAAGGGTTGGGTAAAGGTGAATATATGGTGATGGAGCTTTTAGCAGCTCCCAAACACAGCTGCAATCGGGATACATAAGTTGTGAGAAATAGGCAGGGCAGAATGATAACAGGGATTTGGGAAGAAGGTTAAAGCATATTCAAGTCTGGAAGCTGAAGCTGAAGCAATCAAGGAGGGGCCAGTTCGACTTGCTTTGAAAGAAAACTTTCAGAAAGCTACTATGGAGACAGATTCTGAAATTATCCATGAAAGTTCGCAATCAAACAAACCTTACTCAGAATGGAGAATCCTGCCCATGGTAACAGACATTAAAATCCTTCCTTAAAAAGTTTGAAGGCCTGCCTACCCCACCAGAGTAATTGAGTTTGCATTGGGGTCTATAGAGGGAAGGCAGTATCCTCAGTATGTTCCAAATGTAATTCAGATATAAGGTCTGTAAGATCTATCAATAAGAATATCTTCTACTGACAAAATAAATAAACCATGTGAGATCATCACACATTAAAATTAAAACTATTATTTGTTCCATCTCGTTTGCATCTCCCCTATCAGATCAGCTTTGTAAATTCCTTTGCAATGAAGGAATTGGTCATACTCTAGCTAACTGAGACCCCTACGAGTGAAAAACCAAGGCACAAATCCTACTAAGGCGGCAAATTACTTGACCCATTCTAGTGACCAGGCATTTTACTATTTAAATTGTCGCTATAGTTGACTAAGTAAATGAATGTGCCATTCCCTAATCCCCACATATTTCTTTGGTAAGTACACACCACAAGTGTACTTCGTGCAACGATTTTATATGCATATGCATAGTACAGATAGAGAAGCTTTCTTGATCGGCCTTAATTTTGGAGCAATGCCATTTGTTTGCCTTGCAAAATTCACAAACATAATTAAAAATAATGTGACACAATGGAATTATAGCTTTCCTTTTCTGCACATATAGTTATATATTAGGCCATGAATTGTAGTTCCATGCAAGATTTTCCTAAATTAGAAATTTTCTAATCTTTGAACTAAAAAAGAATAGTAGTACGATGTTTAGTGATGCATGCAAAAATAAGAAAGTTGGAGTACGGCTTTATTTAATATTTTCAAATGCTTTGACTCATTTCCATTCTTGCAAGCAATTTATGTTCAGTAACACATAAAAATAAGAACATAGGATTGATGATATATATATATATATATAGTTTTATGCGTGACACCTGGTTTTCTTGCAGAAATCCAGAGTTCATTGCCAAAGGCCAACAAGGTTAATATTCTAGAATGGTTAAGTTAAAAAATTCTTAGTAGCTAGGAGCCTCCTCGTTTCCATTTCAATATATATATATACAATCGTTATTCCTTTATGATATATTTAAAAAAAACTTATATTAAATTCATACTAGTTCGACCGAGTTTTAACTCAAATTATAAAGACACGTTTAGATTCGAGTAAAATTCTTAAATTTTAACTTTATAATATTTTTTTTAATTAAATTATTTTATTTTCATTTATGGTCGGACATCACACCACGTGCATATCCTTAAAAATTTTTACTTAAAACCAAATTATTGTAAATGTATTTAATAAACAGATATATACTAATTTTCAAACTTTTTCCAAAACAAAGACAAGAATATGAGAATGGTACATGATGGGAATAATATTAGTTTGTTGTATATAGTTGTTGTATACAAATACTTCAGCTGGCATTCATGAATATTAAGCAGTAAAGATACTTAAATATATATAGATATATAGTAATATGATTAATTAATGTCCATTTAACATTTTGCAAAACATATCTATCAATAAACATGAACTTCTCATATAATTTTTATTAATTATTTAAAAATAAATTATGGAGAGAAGAAGGAGACTAGGAGAGTGAACATCTCAAATCGTTGCATCTGTTCGTGTCTGCCTATGGCTCTGACTTGGCAAAACAAAGGAAAATCCTTTTGGTAGTATTTAAGGGGCAAAAGATTGTTAGCATCGAATAAAAAGAAACTATAGATTAAAGATATTTTTTTGTAATTTACAATATTTGTAGTGTTATTATTAACATTTCAAAGATATTTCTTATGAAAAACTTTGTTAGCTTTGAGACCCTTTTCTGTCCTCATCAAAACTTGTTCATAATTTCCCACCCAAAGATTCCCATTTCATTCTTTTTACCCAAAAAGAAAAAAAAATTGTTTGGAATTTCCTTTATTTGCTAATTATTTTTATAATTAGTGAATGTTGCATAGACAAAGCCACATATACATATATATAATTAATAAGTGGGAAGTATTGTGAGGCCAATTAAATTATTAACAATATATAGATTGTACCACCAAATCTCATTTCTCATTGAATACATTGCATATACAAAGGCTTCCATTCTTCTTTTAATCTCTTTTCTGTTTCTTATATAGTCTCTCTGTTCTTGATAATATTCTAATGCACCAAAATAATATACACATATATTTGTCGATATATAAATACGAGAAATGCTATTAATTTCATTCAAAAATTTTTTATTCAATCTGACTCTGTTACATATAACAGTGATTACTAAGAAGCTTAATTAGGCATTAGTAGATATGCATATTTTGTCCTTAATGTCTTGTTATTCTCCATGATTGGGTGTCATTTTCTCCACATGATATTAACCAGTTTGGCAGTGTGTTGAATATCTCTTGTACAAAAGACACACAATAAGCTAAAAGTATTGTTAATTAGCCAAAATCTGATTGCTTCGTTCTCAATACAAATGCATTTAACTGTTACTCTCCGCAGATGCTTTTACTCCTCCCTTGTCCTTTTTCAGATAGCATCGTTTATAGTTTAACAGCAGCAGTCAATAGTCATTTTCTAGCAATTAAGACAGATGAAAGGATCTTTTGTTGTTAACAGGTTTCATAGTGAAAATCTCAAAGACTTCTCAATTGGGTAAAAGGCATTTATACATAGATTCAAAAGTGGATGTTCTGTTTCTCGCACTGATTCATGAGAGCTAATGAAGCCAATCTATATATATGCCACATTACACAGTCAAAGAATTGGTCATAAAACATTTGATACATCCAATGCTTCGAGGAAAGCTTCAGAGCCAATCATTTTATAGTGACCCTCGGAATATAATCCACAATCCAAATGTTGGCTTCAGATGGAAAGTAGGATTAAATGGGTTAGATTATACATGCTGCAGCCTGACCATGAACTCTCTCACCAATGCAATCTCTCAGAGAGACACAGCACTGATAAACTGATCATTTCATATTTGAAGTCCCTCGCTAAGGCTTGACATTATCACCTGAAACAAAAATGACCTTAACATTGATTTATATGCAAATACAACATTTGGCTTAATCATTCTAGAATACCCCCATAGTCTTTTGGATAAACAAAAACTTAAAAATAAATTAATAGAATTAATTTTAGGATATTTCTGATTACACTTTTCAGTAAGGAGCACTCAAGACTCCACTAAAGCCATTATGTAAGACAATAATCCTCCAAGGGAGAAGTGTCACAATTGGTTTTTGTTTAATCCAAAAAGGAAGGGTGAAAAAAAGGTGAAAGTGCAGTGCCTTTTATTAAAAAAGTAAAAGTGAAGTTATATTCCACTTATTGTTAAGGAAATTTGGAAGATTTCTTTAGCAATTGCCTTGTTCTCTCTTGATTAGAATAAATTACATTCTTTGTACTTTGGTACTCTAGCAGCCACCCTATAATGATTCCCTCTTTGTAATCTAATTAATAATGATGCTTAGGAACAAACTTTACGCAAACAATGGTAAACAATGCCAGTTTGCCTCATGTACATAATAAAATATAGCAAAGTGAAAGTGACTTGCAGAAACAACTCTGAAACAAAACTTCCTCCTGCTTTAACTTATACGACTGTGTCTTAGGAGTTATACAGCCAGGACGCCGAATAGAACAAGTCTTCATTGTTTTTAACACCACCACTTGGCAATGTCCCATTAGAGCCGGCTATTTTTCTCCTTTAAGTACTACAACACAACCTTCTTCTTCACTCCCTTTTATCTTTATCAAATTATGCTTCATTGGGGTTTGATATTCCCTCAAAACCCACCAAGGAAAAACTGACAACCTGGTTTGCAGTATAGAAAGATTGAACAAGAAAGTTAACCTACTCGTTTGCAAGAAAAGATATGGATAGACTTATTAGTTTGGAGCCATCAAACCTTGTTGCTGTCAGGATTGAGCCAGGGCAG